TATTACACTCATCACTCAAATTATTACAGGTAAAGTATAGCTGTCTGAATTATCAGATTCCAAACTACCTAGAGTATACATACACACACACAGGTATAAATATTTGATATATCTTTACTATACATTATTTATTATTCACATTCTGTGACTAAAAATCTGCAAAGAGAACACCATACACACACAATAGTTTTTAATTAATTTCTATGGAAGAACACTATATACATGTTGTAAATTCTTTAAAAAAAACAACCAATGTGGAAGTAAGATGTGAATTATGTGGCACAAGAGATAAATGTAGTAGAGCCACAATTCTGTCAGCACTGAAACCTCACTGTGCCAACCTTCTTTAATACCCCAGACTTACAGAAACAAACAGTCATCATGAAGAAGGCTATCATGACACAAAGTGACTCTTCCTAGTGCATCTGTTGTGCTGGGAACAATATCTAATTGTATTCTATGTCATACACAAAAGAGTATTCACCGTAAAGAATGATCTAAAGCACTGGTTGTTCCCAATTTGCCAACAACTGTGATCATCTCTTATGATAAAAGGTCTGTCAGGGACCCCATACTTTTCATAGCTCTACTGAAGAACAGGGCTATTCAACTAAGTTTACTCAGTGCCAACATTTGGACAATGTTGATCATCACAGCCAGATTCCTGAGCAGCACAGAAAGATCATTACTACAACACAAATGGCAATGATCTGCCGGCCACCTGACAGGCTTTTCTGGGCCAGATTTGTCTTGCGGGCTGCCAGTTAAATAGTCCTGCTGTAGAACTTACAATTTATAAATAATATAATCGCAGAAGGATTAATTTCTAAAGCTGACTTTTCAGACCCCTAAAATGGTCCTACTAACCCCTGGAGTCTGCAGACCACAAACAGGGGCTTCAGGAGAGAAGATGGCTTCAGGAGAGAAGATGGCTTCAGGAGAGAAGATGGCTTCAGGAGAGAAGATAGTCTTCACTGCAAGAGGTTTTATTCCACACAGCTTGGTAACTCTGCAGAGAAGCAGGCCACTCATCTGGCATGTCCCACAAAGCACAAAACCATGTTGCCCCAAGTGATTTCTAAAAACACCTGCACTCCCAAACTGAAGATAGAAGTCATCCACCAACTGTCATGGACCTACAGTCCATATAATGACTGAACAACAATGAAGCAGAGTAGACTGGTGTTAATATGAGATATGACTACTAATAAAGTTATATTCTATAACTCAACAGACAGGACAAGAGCTAAGGAATGTTGACTGTCATTGAACAACCTGCCATCTGTATTATTATGAGAAATTTATCATGATCCTTTTGGGATGGACAAGTGAAGTGACCACAAGAAAGGACAGGATCAAGGTTTTGGGATGGGCAAGTGAAGTGACCACAAGAAAGGACAGGTTCAAGGTTTTGGGATGGACAAGTGAAGTGACCACAAGAAAGGACAGGATCAAGGTTTTGGGATGGACAAGTGAAGTGACCACAAGAAAGGACAGGATCAAGGTTTTGGGATGGACAAGTGAAGTGACCACAAGAAAGGACAGGATCAAGGTTTTGAGCTAGACAGTGCTGAATGTTTGTAGAAGTAAAACATATTATTATTGAGTATATCTGTGTTCTTCCCAAAGAGCTGCATATCCTTCAGAAGATGTTGCAGAACTAAGCTCAGCATTTGTGGGGCCTTTTTAAAATTCCACTAGGCAGTCTCACGTTCAGTAATTTGTCTCACGTTCAGTAATTTGCCATTACTTTGTGAACGGTCAATTCTTGATACTACTATCAAAACAATACCATGCAGTCTGCTGCCAAACTACCCGCAACTAGGACAAAACCCAGTACCTCGGAATTATGGAGTGTGTTCACAATGCCAAAGCTGCAGATCATTCAGCCAAACACTTGGATGGTAGGTTCAGGATGTTAACAGAACAGGAAGTTAGTAATTAAGCCCACATTTATGTTCCCATTGTTAGCAAAGCTCTGTGCTTGCTGCTGAAGATGGTGACAGAGTGTCCTTGGGAATGTCTCAAGTGTTATGATGTCTGTTCTTAACTCATAACTTATTCTGGCACCCAACAGAAACAAATTCTGTCACCTTTCAGAGGATTTGAACACAAGTCTTTCGAATGAGTCTAGTGTTCCAACAAACAAGTGACGAAAGAAAAGGAACACAATCCTGCACCAAACAGCAAAACACATTACATTACATATGTATCTTTTAAATGGGCCAGTCAGCTAAGTACACTGTTCTTTAGCAGATTAACTGTTCTTCAGTGTACCCTAGGCAACTGTAGCATTATGGGAAATTAAAAAGCAGACTACTTAGCCAAAATTGGGAGCAACACAGAAAAACCAGAAACTGGTGCAGTAAAGTAGATATTGTCTTTCAGCATGGTATAGTGTGAGTAATTTCACTGACAAACCGAAGACCGCAGAACATTATGTTATACACTTCATAGAACTGAACTGCATACAGTTTATCTGCACAACAAATTTAAAGTATTGCACAAATTAATGAACAGTATTGCACAATATAATGAACAGTATTGCACAATATAATTAACAAAGATTAACAATTACGAAAACAGTTGGCTATGAATCTGAAGAGAAACTGAGCCTTGACTGGTAACTGCAACATCCTGGCAAAGCTCCAAAAGGAGGGATGAGGTTAATGTTGACCTCTCTCATTGCAGATTTTCTTGTGGATGTCCTTGCTTCTCCAATCCATTTATTTTCTATTTCAGTGTATGTTTAACACTTTTTGTTTATTGTCCCCTATGTTTTAGACCTACTCTTTTCTTCCTCTTCTTATCATTCATTGGGTGTAAACTCTGAAGGAAAGTTCTGGTTTTTTCATCCACTTTTGGTTGTCAGTCTTGTTCCAGAACTTCAGTTTTTCATGCACATCAGTTTTACAGATCTCAGGTATTATCTTTATTTTATGCAGGCTACTGGTTCCATGACCCTCAATCAGATGCACTCCGATTTTGAAGAAAAAAAAAAACTAATTAGCTGCCCTTAATAACATCCCTGTTGGGGAATGGGGGAGGGGGGCAGTCGGTATATCCTTTTTCTATTTGTGTAATGGGACACCAGAACCCACACAGGGAGAACATACCCAGGTACTCAAGCTCTAAAATACATTATATTATTACACAATACAATAATTATTTTACTGTCCCTTCTGTATCATGACAATACAGATACATCTGTCAAATTTGTAGATCCTTCCTTCCTTTTTATTAATTACCCCTTTACCAGTGTTTCATCATTCTTCTGGGAGTTCATCATCCTATGGTGCCTGCATATATTCCACATACAGCTCACACATCTATTCCTCCATTCTAACCTCTGTAATCCTTTCCATATCAAGGACGAAATTCAGTCCAGCACCTTTGGCCTCTGTTATCTATCGTCATTTTAGGGTTTCTCTGCATTTCTTTGCCTGTCTTGAATTTATTCCATGTAATGCTCAATAAATTCCTCATGTCTCGTGGAAACAGTTTACTTGAAAATTAACTGTAAGCAATTTTTCATTGTACAAGAGTAGTTACTACTGCAAGGTTACCCCCCCCCCCCCCCCCCCCTCCCACCCCAAAGGTAAATTAGCTATTATTGTATACTACCTCTGGTATGTGAAGTGTTAGATCTGAATAAATTCTAGGCCACAGCAAGTGAGTTGGCAAAAATCCTGGCACTTCTAGTGACTGAAGCTGGTCATTACCAGAAATCAAATCACTTATCAAGGGGAAATACAATGAATTTCAGAGAGAATGAACAAAAGCAAAAATTCACAAAGCCCCATCAGCAGACTCAACAGAACACAGCAAAGAACAATTTTCCTACTAAGAGCAGGTCACTGCAGGCTTAACTACCACACACATAAAATAAAGACTGTACAATCCCCATTGTGCGCATTTCAAATGAGAACACAAACAACCTGGCACATTCTGCAGGTCTGCCCACTATATCTATAAATACGAAGAGAAACCTGGCCTCAAGAGCACAGTGTGCAGAAGGAACCATGACGGACCTGCAGCTGACATGCATGTTTATTAAGGCAGCAATGTGACGGTCTGACCTGAGGATACAAAACCAAACACCAAGAAGAAAAAGAAGAAGAAGAAGAAGACAAACCTGCACTTTTTCAGCAATCACGCCCTCTAACCAGACACCCTCATGGCTCTGTTATATTATTGCTAAAAGCCTCAGTTATATCTGAGGTGAGGCCCAAATCTCCTTGATTCAATAAATGGCATTCTATAGGTTATGACACAAGGACCACACTGATTACTGTAGTACCTATACATTTGGTTAATTTCCCGTTTAGTTCTTTTGGAGCTATGAGGTCAAATAGAAATCCTACATTGGCAAGGATTTGAACTAAAGACCCCTTGGCCAGCAGACTGCCATTCAACTATTCTGACTTGAAAAAGTAACAAATAGTAAATCAATAATTATAAGAAGGTGATAAAAATAAATAAATTTCTGTTTCTGTTTTGTACATTTTTACACTCACATGAAAAGATATGTTTATAAGCTTGTACTCATGAATAAATGTGCATGAAAACACGCACGCATGCACAGAGAGAGAGAGAGAGAGAGAGAGAGAGAGAGAGAGAGAGAGAGAGAGAGAGAGAGAGAGAAGAGAGAGAGAAAGAGAGAAGAGAGAGAGAGAAAGAGAGAGAGAAAGAGAGAGAGAGAGAGAGAGAGAGAGAAAGAGAGAGAGAGAGAGAGAGAGAGAGAGAGAGAGAGAGAGAGAGAGAGAGAGAGAGAGAGAGAGAGAGAGAACATGAACATTCTGGATCTATTAAAGGCAACATCAGTTTTCTTGCTGTCTATTCTTTACTTGAATAATCAAAATCCCCAGCTAAACAAAAACAAATGTTGCAATGCAAATGCAACTAGCCACATAAATTCAAGCTGGGAAGTTTTATCATTGTAGCCATGTAGCCAGACTGCAGCCTTCTCTGTCAGTGAACACATAAAAAAATTGTCTCCATCACAAACGCTTGATTGTCCGAGCCAGCCCTCGTGTTAGAGGGAAGGTGGCACAGCAGAAGCCGCTCATGACCGGTTGTCCTCCGCTGACCATGCTGGTGTAGTCATCCAGGTCTGGGGAGTTGAGAGTATCCGTGTAGGCTCCACTCTCTGAACCAGAGCTGTCAGACAGTCGCAGCTTGGACAAGTCCACTAGGAGGTCAAGGGCATTGGGGTAGCATGGTGGTGGGTTTGCAGGGGTCAGGAGGAGGGTTGTGGAAGTGCGGTAACACAGCCGAGGTCATGTATGTTTTAAGTGTTGTTGGCAGCAGTTAGGTAGAAGGAGTTAATTTGTAGGTGCATGGATATTTTGGGTAATCAAGTTCAAATTGTGTGTTAAAAAATATAACCAAAATATGATTAGAAAAAAAGTTGAATTTTATTAGGAAACAATAATTATTAAAAAATAAATCAATCAGTCACCATCAACATGTCGTAAAATACATAAGCAATATGTTATGTCAGTTTGTATGTATTAGAAGTCAATTATGAATATGTATGTTAAATGTGGACATTTGTATGGGATGGGACCATGAGAGGCGAAAGATAAAGGTCAGCAGATGGAGTGGAAGGAAATGGAGTAGGAGCAGGGGAGGGTTGGGGTGGGGTGGGGGGAGAAAGTTGATAAGCATGTTAGTAAAACAACTTTTGATACAATGACTGGTTAATTTATACAAACAACCAAACAATGTTTGTTATAATACAATAATTGTGCAGTGTCAGTTATACAAAATATGCACACATTTATTTATGCCTGAAAAACATAATTTATAGGCAGTATTTTATAAGATCTTGGGTTACAAAGGTTAGTGCCGAGTTAGGGCTTAAGCTTCAATAAAAGGCGCAAGAAGAAAATGAAGCCAGCAACATAAATCAACAGACAGACTGTTTTCAGGACATGGTGAAAATATACACAGGGACAGAATGAAACAAGGTTTCAGCATCTGCCTCTTGCTGAAGCAGACGTAGTTTCATGGTGTTGACTGTTTGAGTTTCTAACGATTTAAACAACAAAAATTATTTATAAAAAAGACTAAGGATCATAGACTCCCCTCCTGAACATGGGATAGTGGATAAGATAACTAGCCTTCTTAGACAAGGATGAAAACCTGGAGGTCCTGTGTTAAACACCCCCTAGGTAAATACAAAATATTAAGAGTAGGTCAAACAGGCAGCTGCCCAGGAACAATCTCAAAAATGATAAAAGCTACCCTAAATTTGTTTAAAGCATGTGTGATTCTGGCGTGTGTACAATTGGATTTTTACTGGTGCAACATTGTGCACTGTGCTGCAATTCTTCTTGGTGAACTACAGGAGATGACTGCAGCACTTCTGGAGATATGCAAGCGCTTTTATTCTTCTCCTTCTTCAGTGAACAATGTTTGGTATGCCATCTATTCTAGCATGGATCACAAAGGACAATACACTTGAGGTAAATGTGCGCTAGGAAAATGTTCCTTTACAATTCAATAAATACAGAATGTGTGCAGCTCTGCTCAGATAGATTTACTGCTTTAGTTGACATGATGTAACTCAAGACACACATTCACACACAAAGATTAGGTCTAACAGACAACAACAGGTGAAACAAGGGGAAGGCTGTGGGCGACAGCCACATAAACAGTGACAGATGCTCTGGAGGCAAACTTATGACCAATAAAGTTAATGATGTGGCTGACAGTTCATCACAACTGTTATCCTGTCCCTAGGAAAACATAACGTGCCTTCACAACTTGAGAAATGCTTGTTTAAAAATGCATGTCGAAGACTTAGGAAAAATTAACTCGTGAAGAGTCCTGGTTACCTCCATCAAAAGAAGACAATCCACATTCTCTGGGCATTCAGGAAGGAGTAGAGGAAAACAGGAGTGCATCACCAAAATTGAATAGTTAGAGGGGTAGGGGAACCAAAATACATATTAAAAGTGTCTGTTGATCAAAAATTGGTCATAAAAAACTTGAAAATATTTAATACACAGAGAACTGATCACCCACATCAGAAGGGGACAACTCACATTATTTGGGCATGTCAGGAGAAATATAAAACTAGAGCATATCTTGACAATTGGAAAGTCAGAGAGCAGAGGCAGGGGGAGACCAAGACAAAAGATGGCAGATAGTCTTTCATCGTGACACAGAGAACAAACAATTTACATCATTCCGTCAGCCTGTTTTTGTTTCACATGTTTATATATTTAAATGTATTCATTGAGTTACTATTGTCTCACTTCCTTCATCATGCTGTTTTAAATTGTTTCAGATACTAAAAAGAATATCGAGCAACGAGAAAGATGGCCAGAGATATTGTCACATACATCAGAGAAACACCAAGGTAGAAATACAGCGAAATGTTGAACACTGGACCAAATAAAGTGCTACAAAATCTTCTATAACTATGTTACAGCTATGAGACGCAGGAATGAGCAACATAAACCAACACAAATTATAAATGGTCTTTGGAGAGATGACGTCAATATTTCAATGAGCTACTTAATTTACTACCAGAAGAACAATCCATAACACAAGATAACAATAATTACAAAAATAAAAACAGAACCAAGCATAACACTCGCATAAATCAAAAAAGCTATAAAAGAGGCACCTTCCAATAAAGCACCAGACCCCAACAATATACCTGCTGAACTACTCAAAGCAACCAAAGAGATCAGCATAAAATGGATGCACATACTGTTCAACCTAGTCTGGATCAAACAAGAGACACAGGAGGACCAGAGAAACACAATGACAGTAGCCATCTGAAAGAAGAGAAGCAGCAAGAGACTGAGAAGTATAGAGGCGTTTCAATACTGAGCCACACTGGGACAGTATTTTATAAGAATCTTGTAAAGAGGCTACTAGAACCACAACTTAGTGAAGCACAAATGGTATTTTTGAAGAAGACAAGCTGTTCTGATGCAATATTAACATGTAAACAGTTAGTGGAGAGGACAGTAGAAATTGATACAGAAAAAACATGTGGCATTTACAGACCAAGAGAAAGCTTTCAACTGAGTTTATAAATCATGGAAAGTATTATGGAGGAAACGAACATTTGATTCAACTGTGCAAGAGTTTACATGTAGACGGCCAATGCGCAGTTAAAACATAGGAATGTCAGAGAAGTTCCACATTGGATATGGAGTGAGACAGAGGTTAGTATTATCACCACCACTGTTCATCATATTCATTGACCAAACTTACAAATTAGCCAACACCAGCGAAGAGAACAACAATGGAGAAGTCATGGCACCCACAGAAGTAAAACTACAAGAACATTTTAACAGACCCCACTCGTCATGCGATGACTATAATATGAAGATTAACGTCCACAAAACAGAAGTGACGACATTCTTTATAAAAGGAAGACTACCAACATCAATATAAATAAACATACGTTAAAGCAGGGAAAGCACTACATATCTAGGAAACATTTTTATTCTCCATAAAATGGAAGAATGAATAAAGAAACACAACAAAGATACAATAAAGCCAATATTCTTCTTCTTCACGTTCACGGCTGTAAAATCTGGCAGAAAGTTCTGGTTGTTCGTTCATTTCTGGATTCTACTCCTGTTTCAGAACCTGAGCGGTGCATGCGCATCTGTTTAACAGATCTGACTCATTTGTATAGAGAATGTTAGTTCCTTGCTGCTCAGGCAGATGCACTCTGACTCTGAAGGAAGCTCCCAATTAGTTGACTCTTACTACATCACCTGCCACCTTTTATCTCTGTGACTGACCTGCTCTTTTCAGTTGTCGCTTTTACATGTCTGTAGGTCTGCTCGTATATTATCTCATCTATTCAATATCTTCTTGGTATGCCTCATGGTCTATTCCCACGCCTGGTAACTCCAGAACGTGAGTTTCTCCAAACTAATTTTTCTCTATGTACTTTAAGTATAGAGGAAAATATTCTCCTGGATGTAACCTATATCTAGGTCAACCATAACAAAGCCACTTAATTTCCCTATGACTGCAGTTGAAGTGAAAAACTAAGACTTGTACAGAAGTAAGGTGTTAAGAATCCAGATAACAATGACCAAGCTTAGACATGGTGACTGTAGGTTTTGTTTGTAAAACCAAAGGTGTCATAAATGTTACATAATCAGCCCTTCTGAACCTTCTGACTCAGAGGAATGAAGCTGGAAAGGGGGAAAGTCCAGACATGATGGTTCCACTTGATTGGTTTGTCACACCTTGTACTGACACTGGGCAGAATTAGATAGGATCCACTGTGACAAAACGACCTCAGTGTTTTCAGAAGTTAGCCCAGACAAAGCAGCCAGGCTTTGTTTAATATTATATAACATTCGGATTACCTAATATAGCCTAATGGTCTACCTGGGAAAGTTCAGACATAGTGGCTGTAGGGCTTGATTGTAGAACTGAAGTGTCATAATTATCTCCTAGCCAGACATTTAGGAGCAGATAACCCAACTAATTATCCCCCTTGAGATTATCTTCCTTGAACTGCAGACCAGTCATAAAAAGGTTGCATCCTCTGCCCTTTCAACAAACAGATAAGATTAGGGGAATTAACTTGGTCAAGTAGGAAACACAAGTAGTCTGGGACTAGATGTTTACCACAAGAATGTTTGCTCAGAGTGGTGGCCGTCAAGAATTGACTGACAGGCACCTTGATGGCTAATTTGATCTGCAAGGTACTTCTGGGGCGTGGCTTAGATCTTCTCCGGTAGGACAGGTTAGATACTAGAAAGGGGAGGAGTTAACTTTGCTAGTTACTGCTAGCATCTTAAATTTACCTCATAGTTAGTTAGTTAGTCTTTCCTCTTGTGTCGAGTGCGGCACATAGGGCAGAGGTCATGACTCTCCATGCATGGCAGTTCGTTGCAATCTGTTGTAGGTCTTGGATGTTTGAGTGGCCCATGAGTGAGCCTTCCCTGATGATAGTTCTTCGTAGGGTTTCCCTTGGTCTTCCACGAGATCTTTTCCCCTGTGGTGTTTAAATGAGGGCTTGGTAAGGAAGTCTTGATTTATCCATTCTAAGGGCGTGGCCGACATAGTTCCAGCGGCGTTTTCGTATAAAATTAGACACATACTCTTGCCTGGATTCTTGCCTTATTTGTGTATTGGTTCGGAAATCTGACCATTTGAAATTTAGTATTCTTCTAAGGCATTTATTTTCAAAACTCT